CACACACACACAATTTTACTGAAGATAGGGAAAGGGCAAAGCAGGATTGGGGTAAATCTCATTACATCTGCTCTAATCGCTTAGCAACACAAAGCCTTTTCTTGTATTAGCGCGGAGAGCCTTTCAGCGCTGCCTGACAGACAGTATTCAGTTAGCATTAGTAAACTCCATAAATCAGGGACTTCTTTGGGCGCAGTATAAGTTTTAGAACTACTCAGGATTTGGTGGGGGGTGGGGGAACAGAAGCGGAGAGGGATGTGTGTGCAGATGAAGGTTGCTGGGCCACGGATTTATTAATTCATGTACTTACTATCTATTAATTCATGTACTACCAGCGCAGTGCTGGAACACTCCTTAACAAATGCTTCTCTCTGAGTGTGTGCCCCCGCCGCTGCTCCCCCAAATCAAGACCCTCGGGCAGCGACGGGGTAGCGAGGCCGAGGTACCCACGGCGGCCGCACTGGGCCAGGGCGGTGGGCAGCACTGCCCCCGCCTCTGGTGCGAGATCCGCGCCCTCGGAGCCGGGGGGGAGCCAGCGTGGGGTTTCCCCTCGCTCCCCATCCCTGCTGCGCCGCTGCCCCCTCCCCACAGGCCCCTCCTCTGCCCAAACTTTTTTCCGCACGCGGGATCAGCGCCGTCCCCGCGGAGCCTCCGCGCCCTCCCCCACCTCCTCCCTCGCAGGTAAGAGTGGAGGGGGAAGCGCCCCCGGTCCTGCCCCCCGAAAGGGATGTGCGCACCCCGGAGAGCCTCCTGGTGCCCCCAGCCCGCCTCTCTCACCCTCCTCTGGGTGAGAGGCGCCAGCACCAGCTTTTGGGGGAGCCCGTGGCTCTATCCCTCTTCTAAAAATCTCTCCTTTTTTTCCCTTTCTTTTTTCCTTTTTTTTATTTGTTTATTTGTTTGTTCGTGTCCGCCCCCTCCCTTGCTCCCCTCCATTCCTTTCTCCTTTTTCTTTCCCCTCACCCCTCCCCTCGGCGCAGGTCCTGCCTTTTGTGTGCGGGCTCGCAGGGGCACAAGGGGGGGAAGGGGGGGGCCGCGCCGGGGCCGGGCAGGCAGCGGGCAGCGCTGTCCCCGCGCGTGTCATGCCTCAGCCTTTATCGCGGCGGCGGCGGCGCTGCAGGGGCCCCGCCGGGATCGGGGGGCGGCGTGCGCCCTCCGCAGCTGCCGCCCGCCCCGCTCCGCGCCCGCCCCGCTCCGCTCCGCGCTGCCCGGGCCGCACGCGAGGACAGCGGGCACCTGCCCAAGGCGCGGCGGGCGCGGCAGGGCGGGGAGGGGGACACACACACACACATACACACGGGACGCCCTGGCTCGCCGCTGCGCGCCGCTCCATAATGCAGTGCCTATTACTCAGTGCATTCAGGGATTAGCCCGGCTTGAAGTGTGTGGGGGATTCTGCGTCTCCCCGCTCCCCTTTCCAAGAGGCGAGGAGCGGGGAGAAGCGCCCCCCCAGGCCGCCACCCTGGTTCGTCCCAGCGCGCAGCAACTTCTGGCTCCCA